AGGAATGTTTCACTGCAAAGTTCCAGCAGGTTCTTCTCGCGCTGAGTTTCGGGTTGCCTGAAAGCATTTTTCTAAAACAATAATTTGCAAGCAAATGCATGAAATTTGTGGATGCTCTCAAATTCAACTTGTTCAATTCAAGCCTTCCAATTGAGGCTCCTAAATTCAGCTTTTATAGTGAGTGTAGTCTGTGTGCGTATCTGATTCTCATACTAACAGGAGTATACTCTTGCTAAAGTTAAACAAAACAGTTGTGGAAGAAATGCTTATTTTGGAATTGTGATTGTTGTCGGCAGGTACTACCTTTGGTTTGGAAAAAAGAATTGAATGTTAATGAGGCCGTTTCTATATATATTTAGGGTGGAATATAATTCTAATGAGAAATATGGGAGCAAGACCTGTCAGACAGTAATTCCTGTCAAGCCACTATGAATGTAGTCCAGCTTTGTCCTTGGACCTACTTCTTTATAGGACGTTCAAGCATTTCTCATTACCTTGTCTTCTCATGACCTGTCTTACTGCTCACCTAGCTCCTGAGAAGAGTGGATTCATTTCAGAAAATGGGGGGCGGAAAGGTAGAGTTTCAGCGGAGAGGAGAACCTGAAACACTAGCGTGTCGACCTAGGTACACTATGAATTGTTAAGCAATAAACTTCATTAAACAATAGCTAGAGATAGAACTGCATCTTCAAGACATACTGCAACATATAATTTCTGTGCTTCTTTATGAATATAGATCCTAGACTTGTGAAAGTTTGTACTTGTATTTCCCTCCAAGTCCATACCCACTGTTGAAAGTGGAGCCATTTTCACTACATAAAGGCTGAAAATACAACACAAGATAATTAACATGATGGCGTCTGTGAGCCAGAAGGCATTGTAGCGATGACTACTTCAGCTTGTGAACCTAGGAGGTTTGGCCTGTCTTCACCCATTTAGAGTGAAATTATATTCAGCTCTGGAAGAAGTAAAACATAAGCAACGAAATGATGGTATTCTCCCTCCTTCTCTAAGGTTAATCTTGCTGACTGTGTTCCTGCTCCTGCTCTGTGGGATCACAGCAACCTGCATCAAATTCTGCTGCCGGAAGAAGAGGCCTCCAGTGGAGGCCTTCCCCAGGCACCCTTGTGACTTGACAGCTATTGGTATTGACAGTGACAGCACTGCCCACAGCACGGTGACCTGTAAGTATCCCCTGGGAGCCCACTGCTCATCAGTGCTTTGCTGTTGAACGTCTGCCTAGAATTCTGTCTCTAGCCCTGGCAGTAACGGGCACTTTCTGATGTGCTCCAGAACAACTTTCAGCCCCACAGGGTGGGTGGGAGAGATGAAGGAGGGTTATCAGGGCAACACTGCAAGTGAGTGGAGAAGACAAGTAGGATTTAACGCCGCGGAGGGTAAAATAAAGTCTGTGGCGGGTTAACCTCTTACGTGTCATCTCCCATATCTGTTCGTATCACCATTCCCTCGTTTTTTTAACTTTTCTGCCCACCTCACTGTCCACCTCACTGTCCAGCTGTTCTAGCCAAAGTTCTCTCTAATGCGAGGAACTGTTCACAGCTATTTGTGTACAAAGCCACCTGAGGCTGCCTCTGCTACAGCACACATGTACTATGTCAGGTATTTCACAGTAATTACTGGATGGTGATATGCAGAGACATTTTCTCTTCTGACTGCTTTCTTTTGGAGAATGTATAGATTCTATCATGGGTAACACTATACTGATAGCTTTTAGTATATAGCATGTATGTTCTGACACCACAAAAACGGGTCCATAATTTCTTGGAGAAAAGTAGAATTAGCCCTTCATATATCAACGTTCCACGCAAGTATTTAATTTGGTTTTAATTCATTTTCTTCACAGCATATAGCTCGTTGCAGTACCCTCTGAGTGCCCCTATTCATTCAATATTTGTGGATATGGATAAGAACGCTGTGTCCCCTCCAGCTTACAGTCTCTATGCCATGGAGTTGCCACCTTCTTATGATGAAGCTGTCCAAATGGGTAAACAGCACACTGAAGTGGCGCGGACAAGCCAGAAACTCAGTGACATCCCTGGACAGGTGACATCAGGTGGGCTGAGTCCCACCCAGGATTCACCCGATACAACCAACAAAGACCCAGCCACACAAGCCAGTTCAGAACATTCAGAAGATGCAACACGAGAACAGCCGCAGCTCTGACTCATTTCGGATGAGGAGTAAAGGAAGGACTGTAAGAGTTGAAGAAGACATGAAGAGTTTGGTTTTGTAGACAGGTTATGACGGAAAGATGTTTTCTATCATGCTCTTGTAGTGATCTGTTGGTTAGAAGAAATGTTTTCTGTGACTGCTGTAATCTCCTGGTAAAGCTTCTTCAAGCATCTGAAACGGAGTAAAAGGGCAGCAGTCTAAAAATGCCTGTAAAAGTGGGACATGAATACTTGTTCATCTTCTGATTTAAAAAAAGAATTCCTTGCACCCAGCATATGGCAATAAAAAGGTCAGGGGAATTTTGCCGTCTTGGGAACACACATGAAGAGTCAGAACAGTACAAATACGAAGTTGTTGTTCCAGAACAGAAGCTTCCCAAACTGGGATTGAAAGGGGAACCCCAGCGAGTCACACAGAGTTGCCTCTGTAGTTTCTCTTCTTTTGAGAACGTTTACTGTCCAGCGGATTGCTGGAGAGCAAATTGCTACATAATGGCACATGTTCCTTGCACTGAAGGAAGATGGCAAACAAGAAGAGGAAAGTGTGTGGAGGGAAATGCATTATGTTATGTTTCACAACTAGAGTCAAGGAATGAGACAAAAAAGAAAAGATTTTTTTTTTTTTTTTTTTTAATAGAAGAGAGACAAATTAGGACCAAATCAAAGGCAGTTATGGTCTCATGCAAGTCCACTGCAGAAAGGGATGAAGAATCTGAGATCACATCTTTTTTGGTTGGTCATGAGGGATTGTTTTTGAGGTTTCTTAAATCTTTAAACTTCTATTTTCAAGATGAGCTGGCTTGTGGGTGGGATCCTTTTACTACTTATTTTTGCCAGTTAAAGTACAAATTAGTCTCAAAGAGACACTTGCACACATGGTTAAGTTTTACTAATGTGTTTCGAATATTCATCAAGTATTTCAAAGATGCCTTTATACTTTGTTACCTGCTCAGGTGTCAGGGTCTCTGTCAGTACAGAAAAGAAGAAATCAAAGATTCCTGGCAGCTTTCACCAGCTTAGTGCATAGACGAACTCAGTAATGTGCAGGATGAAACAAAGCATGCTCGAGCTGTGCCATCTAGAATCCGTTACCAATACAAAATACCAGAGTATAGGCTGGTCAATAGGCCAAAGAAATTACTCTTTAGGGATGGTTCTTCATGAAGTACTGATAGCAAGAACAATTGCTAGACGCCATTTTAAAACTGCGAGCTTGCAGTTGATTACAGCGGTCTCAGCCCAAACAAAAATACAGGCTGAGAGACCTTGTTTTAAATGACAGCTCCTTCCCTTGCTTGCCCCTCCCATATTCCAAATAGGATGAATTTTGTCCGCTCCTGAGTAGTGATTTTCTTTGAATCCACTTTGGCAAGGTGCTAATTTGGCTGCTTTAAGAACATGAGCAATCTACAGGATTGTTCATTGCTATGGGCTTGTCTAAGGGATAAGAGCAGGAA